CATACTACAAAAAAAATGTATTATATTGTAACCAGAGACAAAAAAAAATTAAAGTGTAATAATAATATAAAGAAGAAAAATGTACTTCTAATATGTGAAATTTTATAAATTCTATAAAAGCATAAAAAAGTAATCGACTAAATTTTTTCGTAAAATATTTAAACCTCTCTTGACAAGTTGTCATTATGCAAATGCCGCGTTTACTATCTTTTTTTAAATAATAATGTTTTATTTATAAATCACTAATAAATTGGTAACAATATTTTTATACAGAGTTCTTTGTACAATAGTAACGCCCCGCAGGTCAATGTTACTAATATCTTAAACAACAACTTTTGTTCCATTATCTTTAACACCTTCAAAATAACTAATATTTCTATGCCTTACTTTCTTAAACTCGTATCTTATAAAGAGTGATTATTCAGAAGATGGCGAAACTTATTTATTTGAAATGTCTTTTCAAGGGTGTTAATTTGGATGCTTTGCTTTAAGAATAGTTAAAAGCTAGTATGTAAATTTGAAGGGAATGTGATATGAAATCAGCCTGCAAAATTTGTATATACAATCCATTTTTGTTATACATACAGTTCCTTTTTCAAATATATATTTTTTAACTTTGATTTTTTTACTTTCCTTATCTATATCAAACTCCTGAGCAACACCATGAGTATAGCAGCAGTAGAGGAGGTCCTTGTAAGAGAGTTCGTTCAGGGAAGTAGTACTACTTACCATCTTGTCTATTTGTGCAGTAATGTAAACATTACTGCGTTCCGACTTTGAAGGGTAAGAGTTCTGGTGAAATTACAGGCGTATGGCCTTGTCACCTTATGATTCAGGTTAACAAGCGCAGTGGCAGTGCAGTTATGGACAGGTGTGCAGCTTACCATCAGGCGCACGACTAGTTCGTCCCGTCACTTGATATTTTAAAAAAAAGTCTTCCACTGAGGTAGACAGAGACTACGGATCTTTACTTCTACGTTTTCGACGTACTTCTTTCGCCTTCACCTTGTTCATTAGTTCTTTCACAAACGTCCGTTTTAATCTTATTGTCTTATTATGGCCATCTATTTTGTTGACACATATTCCCTGTTGATCTTTGCTTCTTACATATTTGCGATTCATAATAATTTTCTGAATTACGACAACTTAGACGGTGTCGTCACGCAATTAAGGTAAATTTCTTCACGCTTGTCTGGCGTCAGTTATACATCTTAATTACGTGACATCCTTTCCAAGGACGGACAACATAATTCGTAGAATTTAAAAACGATACCAGGAAAAAAGACGAAAGCTTGTTGCGTAATGATGACTAATTTACTTGATTAATGATTTAATTTTTGTATACTACACCAATTACCTGGTCGCAAACTGGTAACTCCATAAATTATGATGAGTACCAGAGCAAAATAATTAACCACTGGGACTATAGAGAATACTCAGAACAGGACCAATTTAGCACGTTTGGTCCTACCACGAATCTAGCCAATCTAGCGCCCCCAGTGTTAACCGCTGATTCACTGAAGTCGTCAATCGTAAATAGTACAAAATATACAGCATGGTGAAATCATATATTTAGTAGCAGTAGAGCTCCTTGTGAAAGAGTTCGTCCAGGGAAGTACTGCCACCTTACTTATATCTGCCGCCATGCAGTAATGTGAACATTATTGCGTTCCGGTTTAGAAAGGTAAGGGTGCTGGTGATATAGGCACATGGAACTTATCAAGTTATGTTTTGATTTTGTATACATATATTTTTTTCCATAATACCAAATGACGGGACGAATAAGTCGTGCGCCTGATGGTAAGCTACACGCCTGTCCATAACAGTTGCACCACTCAGAGTTTTAAATCGCAAAGGTCTGGGGGGCACTGCCACTGCGCCCGTCACCCTGAGACATAAGTTGACAAGTCGGATGTGCCTGTAATTTCACCAGAACCCTTACTTTTCAAAGCCGGAACACAGTAATTCTGACATTACTGCTTGGTGACAGAAATAGGTAAGGTGGTAGTACTTCCCTGGACGAACTCTTTCACCAGGAGCTCTACTGCTACTAAATATATGATTTCACCATGCCGTATATTTTGTCTGCCACTAAAAATTTTACGATTAACTCTGTTACTGTTCATGAACGGATTAAAATTTATATATATACATTTTTTGAATTCTATGAAGTCGATTATTGGAGTAGAAATTTCGAGATGTCTCGAGAAGGATGAAGAGCGAGAGCACAATTTTAATTACGTAGGCGTAGGACGCTACGCCTGAGAACTACAATGTTACGTAGCGATGTTGTTATTGGTAAATAATTCGCTCCAAAAACAGGCATTTCTTTTTAACCGACTTCAAAAAAGGAGGAGGTTCTCAATTCGACTGTATGTTTTTTTGTATGTATGTTACGCGATAACTCCGGTATTTGTGAACCGATTTTCATGATTTTTTTTTGTTGGAAAGAGGACACCTCCATAATGGTCTCATTTCATTTTGAAGAAAATCATCCACCTTTAAGGGTGGCTGATTACGCATGAACATTCATTTTTATAAATGGGGCCTAAATTTTACTTAAGGAGCAATTATTTTAATGGTTGGTTTTGCTATTCTCCAATTCTAGGCGTTTTCCTCTCTCAATATAGTTTGAGTAGTGAGAACCGATTTTTATTATCTCCTGTGTCAAGTTCCGTATAGTGGCGAACTAGGTGATATTTCAATAAAACTTAGCAAATAGACGTAATTCCACGTAATAATTCCGACCTAAAAAGGGTCAGTCTTTTTAAGTACTCTGTACTGAGACTATCGTACTCTCCAATGATAATTTGGTAATTATTATTATACGACGTAATAATGTTTTCTTTTTTATTCTTACTTGTGTTGGGATATACATACATAATACAAAAATATGACGTCATCTCATAAGTGTGAACCAATTCTACAATAGAGAAAACGCAATAAAAACAAGAGTGTAAAGGACTACCCACACACAGAACCGTGCCCGGGACGTGGACGGGGCGTGGTAGCTTGTATGAACTGCTGGCCCGTTTTCACAAAGCACATTTGTAAAAAAAAAGTGTTTTTTTTTTTCAAACATACTATAGTTTGATTTGGCTCCTACTGATACTGCCACCCGGGGCAGGTGCCTCGGTTTGCCCGCTCTTGATCCGGGGCTGGCTCAATACTCTCTGCTGCAGAGCTCTACGGGTACTAGAATTTCATTAAATTCCAGGTAATTTAAGATTTTCCCAATAATTCCATTAATATAACAGTCTCCTTTAGAATTACCCTTCCCCAATAATTGCTACACCGCACCGTAATAATCGAAACGCGTAGAACCTTCGCAATGACACGCACCTACAAATCATGCTTGTATAACCACCTGATGACGTCACGACGTTTTCCAAGGAGTTGTTTGCCGAAATTCGAGGCTTAACTCGATACCTTTATTTGTTTTGCAAGTGATCGATTGTTATTGGATCATTTTATAAGCGACTTATTTGTTCGTATTGAAGCCTGTTTAATATTTGCCGGTGGTTAGTTTAGTAATTATATATTATAGTTATTACGGGGAAGTTTCTCGAATTGTTATTTGCGTTGGTTTATGACGATTACGCAGGGGTTAGTTAATGTTTTGTTCGATTAGGGTCAGGGAGGTGTCTTATTATTATTATAAAAACATCACATGGAGCGACAATGTCGAAGTGAAACTAGAGCATACTTGAACACCATATTCTACGACCTTCGAAAACAATAATACGCTTTTATTTAACCAATTTTCGATATGATAGCACTCATTCAAGAAAGATTACTTCGACTTGCAGAGTCGCAGCAGCATAGCTACGAATGATTTTGGGCACGATCACTTTTATACAGGGTGTCCCACTATTGGCTATGCAATATGGAGGGAAACAACTTAACAGCAGTAGAGCTCCTTGTGAAGGAGTTCGTCCAGGGAAGTACTGCCACCTTACCTATTTCTGTTGCCAAGCAGTAATGTAAGCATTACTGCGTTTCGGTTTTGAAGGGTAAGGGTGCTGGTGAAATTACAGACACATGGGACTTATGAACTTATGTCTCAGGGTGACGGGTGCAGTGGCAGTGCCCTTCAGATCTTTGCGATTTAAAGCTCTGAGTGGCACTGCAACTGTTATAGACAGGCGTGTAGCTTACCATCAGGCGCACGACTTGTTCGTCCTGTCACTTGATGTTATAAAAAAACACTTTTATGTTTATTAATATATAATTCATCAACCTATTTAGATGCCGGACTCTTGTCGTTATAGCGTCTTCCATTCCTCACGGTTCATAATCAGTTCTTTGACCTCTTTATAGCCGTTCACTTTGAGTTTGTTTTTTAATTGTTCACTATACGCCATTGTTGGTCATGATCTCTTTATTTTGCCTTCTATCCTCCCCTCAATAATAATTATGATGAGTATCTAAAATAAATAATTCAAGTATTCATCATAATAAGATAAGAAAATCTACAGGCAGCGAACTCATCAATAGATTGGCAATTCGCATACAAGAACATGGATCACATTTTGAACACTTGATAAATTAATTGCAAATACCACCGATAAAATTAGCATTTGGAATTTTGTTTCTTTTTTAATACATTGTATGGATACTATGAATATATGATTACAAAATATTTATTCGCTGAAAAATTTATTGAAATGATATTCAATTATTTTTTGTGAAATTACTCCACTAGTTTGTTATGTTTATTAATACAAAGATTTCGGCCGGATTCGAACCGACGGCTTCTAGCTTACCGTGGCAGACGCTATACCAACTAAGCCACGGAACGAACCAGCGGACCTCACGAATTTTTCTATGTGCATGCGTCGTATCGTCATATTTGGTTTTTTCAATGACTTTTTAGTCGTAGCGCCATCTATGAGAAATCTATGAAAGTTTTATCACCCAGTAAGATATCTTTACAGTTACGTACATAATTGATATTATTTAATCACATAACTAACATCCCTTTTCGTTTACCTTTCCAGGACGTGGCGTTCATCAACCCTGCGAACGTGGTCTTCGTCTACATGCTGGTTCGTGAGCTGGTGGACGGAGACCGTATAGGTCGCCCCCAGGACCTGCAGGCCGTGGTCCTCACCTGCCTCTACCTCTCTTACTCCTACATGGGCAACGAGATCTCATACCCGCTCAAGCCTTTCCTGGTGGAGGACTCCAAGGACAAATTCTGGGACCGCTGCCTTCTCATCGTTGATAGACTATCCTTCAACATGCTAAGAATTAATTCTGAACCTGGTTTCTTCACTGAAGTGTTTACCGAGTTGAAGGCGTGTGGGGCAGTGGAGACTCCTCCCCCTGCGCCACCACACCCTGCGCCGCCACCGCCGCCCGCGCATGCGGTCACGCCTGCCTGACATACAGAAGTAGCCGTCTTGCGGTTGGCTCTAACCGACCGTCCCAGTCGGGTTTGATGTCGGCTCTATAACTCTGAAGCTATTGGTCAATCGTCCTCGATTTGAATATCGAATGTCTCGAGTAAGATGTCCTTCCAAAACGATGACACTGAAAAGTTCTGATCAAACCAAGGAAACAATGAAATAACGCCTCCAATTAGAACTATGGTGGAAAAACGCAGCCTAAATTACGCGCGTGCAATTTTGTTACATCATGCCGTGTGTTGTGACGTTTTTTATGACGGTTGTAATTTATTATTAACATACGTAATTTAAGCTGCGTTTTCTTCGTTAAATTTCGATTGGGTGTAAAAGTAGGTACCCACTCGGGTATTATTACCAAATGATTACCAATTACTTTAGTAATTGAAAATGAGTACCAGTTACCAGAGAAAAAAAACGTCGACTACATATGAGACACATCGCACATGCGATTTCAGCCACATATTGCCGTAAGAGGAATGAATAATTAAATTTAAAAGGATTAATTGTAGAAAATTTAATAGAAAAGGATTGTAGAATAAAATAAGTATTTATATGATTAAGTCGCGGTTCATAACTCTATAATTATCGTGACATTTTCAACTTTTAAAATCGTCTATAGATACGCCTACTTTGCTCAAAAAAACCCTAGTTATATAACGTTGATGATTGACCAAAGCTTTGAATATTTTCCATTAAACAAAAAACGGGCGTGACTAGTGCGTGTTTTGAATGATACGTGAGACAGATAATTCTGCGGCTCTTGAGCAGAATCATCGTCAGTCTTCGTCATTAGATAATGTGATAAGTTAAATGTGTTAGGATCCATTGTTTTGTCCAAAACTTTATACTATCAGCACGTTTTAACGTTAACATAGTGATTACGCAACCATTACGGAGAGTTGGCGAATTCGAATCAACGTTCGAATACGAAAATTTAAACTCAAACGTAGGAAACGGCCGTAGGCTGAGACTGTAAGGCTACCTCTCGCCAAAAGTTTTTGGTATTATAAGTGCAACTAATTATTTTCCGCATCGAATTTGTCACAAACATAAATAACGAACGATAACGATACTAAAACGAGCAACCAGTGGTGACCACTTACCGCTTTATAAGTTGCAGAAAATATTTAGTACTCTAATAAATTGAAGTAATAAGTAAAATGCTCCCTTCGATGCCTTTAATCGAAGTGGTCATTTGATATTAATGTATTGATACTGCATTTTTATGTATTGTCTGTAATGTTCTCGTAGCTAATTATCTGATAATATTACTTTCTTAGGCAGCTGATCCAGCAGCGATTGCTTAGTCCAATAACATCTGTTTAGTCATTAAGATAATAGTTTCGTAACTGTAGTGAATTGATCGTAATGCCATTATAGTTAGAAGATATAGGAAAATGTCTGGCAGGCGGGAGGATGCAATAGTTCCGTGGAATTAATCCGGTAAAGCCCTTCTATGAAGTGTACGTACATATGATATGGCCGACTTAAAGCTCGGATTGACTTATTTTGAGTCTTTGAAGTGTACTAAAAGGTAATATATAGGTCAAATTACGCGAACGATTAAGCGTTTTGTACAGTGATAATGATTAAAATTATACATTAAGTCATAAAATTTACACTAGTCTGCGGGAAAGTGGACATTAAGCAAGCTTGAATGGCACTCGGGATTTCAAAACGTCTTTAAAGAATACAGTAACAAAAGCTAGCAGCAAGTCTCAGAAAGAAAAATAATGCGAAGATTGTTATTGAATTGTAGGTGTTGTAAAAATTACTTTTGGAAAGTAAATTGCCATAGATGGATCTTTTGAACACAAATATCAATTAAATAAAAAAAGCGTCGTACTTTAGCTTATGTTACCAAATTAGTGTCTTGTGAGGTAAGCTTGCTGGAATGTACATTTGAAAATTTTTTTTTTTAAATTCTTTGAGTTCAGACAATGTTAGTGTAACCAAAAGTATGAAAGGTATTTGAGTATGGATTGATGTCAATAACCTTTCTATGTCTTCATTTGACTCTACGAATAAATTAGAGGCATTCAGAAAGCAAACAAAACATGAATTTCAAAGTAATTACTACTTACACATTATTATTTATAATTAGACCATTTGGGGATAGAAAATTTAAAAAAAAATAGTCTAATACTGTACTTATATTTCAATAAGTCATCTGTCTAATTTAGGTAATACACAAATTGTTTCTACTGAAGGACTTGAAATAACAAAAAATTGTTTCCCCGCCGAGTGACCTAGATAAGTTATAATAAATTGTTTAGTGGTGTGAATGTCTGAGGATGTCATGGTAATGAGTGTTTAATGATATTTAAAAAATGGAATACAATGTTCCATGTCATAGATAATGATTAGGTAAAAGTAGATGTCTGTGATGTTTATTGAATATTAGATTTGTGTTTGTGACACAAAAGGATTCGTTAATTAATTTATTGTTTTATCATTATAAAATTATTTATTAAACTTTCTCTTAGTTGATATTTCTTAACAGTTTATTTTTTTATAATCTTAGTTTAAATTAGTATTATTTTTCAAAAATATGCTATCGAAGCCGTCTGTTGAACCTAGTAAAAACCAAAACTATAGATAAAATTATCTAAATATTATGAAATAAGTAAGTAATAGGTACTTATTGAATGGGAAAGGATCACAACAGATATCTTGTTATTGTTAATTTTCGTTATGTGAAGAAGTAAATTATTTTTGGAGTTTCATGTTTAGGACATTACTTTTAGTCTGTTTGTTTATTGTCACGAGTACTCACGAATATCTATGTAAGCTGTCGTGTATATTCAAATTACTACACAGTATAATGTAAGTCAAATAAGAAAATGTGGTTTCTTAATCTTTTCATGATCTCTGATATTAAAATTGATATTTTGTTTGAAGTGTTTCAATTATCAAAGGTATTACAAAGCAGGTACTTCTAACATTATTCATGTAACTCACGTTTGTTAATTAATCTTTGTAAATATACCCAATTATTAAAAAAAAACTTTCGTATATACAACATGAGTAGTTTTATTTCAATACTTTATGATATTTGTATATAGGTACCTACCTACTACTATCAACAATTTAATATTTAAACACGATACAGTTCAGCCGACTATAAAGCTCATTTATTCAAGATTTTGTACAATCTCCTTGCGGTTACGTACTGTGTCTATAACGTAGCGCTGATAACTCTAATTCCGTTTCCAAATAACATTCCATATTATAAACAATTCCCCGTTTTAAAAATAAGTTAGTCAAAACACTTTGAAAGTGGCTAAAACGCTTACCGCGAAGAGCCAAGAGAAATAAGAAAAGAAAAATATATTTTTCACTATCATCCTGTTATTTTTAGATTTTTATTTTTTAATATAATGAGCATGGCTAGCTTTGAGTTACAAGGATGTTTATTTTTTTTAATTTGTTTTATTTTGACAATAAGGACATCAACCTAAACTAGTTTAATAAATTATGAATAAAATAAAATAAATATTTTTAAGCCTTGGCTAAAATACCTAAAAAGTACATATTTGCGATTCTAAGGAAGCTACAATTGTACAATTCCCTGGTACATTGATCTCTGGAACATTGACAATTTTTTTTTACCCGACTGCGTCAGAAGGCATTTATTATTTTAAGGCATTTTACATTGCGCTGCTGACATCAAAGCGCAGGCCACACCACGAACAAAGCTAAACTAACTCAGCTCACGTAGCCGGGTCATCTATTCATACTTCGGTTCACACCGTGAACTAAGCTAACCGAGCTAATTGAAATATGTGGGCTAGTTACCTAACGATTCCGCTAAGCTAAGTAAACTGTCGCCATTCATCTTCGTACGAGGAAAGACTAGCGTCGAGTCGCACCACTTCTTAGCTTAGTTTTGCATGCAACTAAGTGAGCTCAGCTAACTTAGCTTAGCCTCGTTCGCGGTGTGACCTGCGCTTAAACATTGTAAAGTGGTTGTAAATTAAACTTAGGAGATATGAAATAAATGATGTAAATCAGAGAAACTATTGTTAAAATACAAGCAAGAAGATTATTTTAGGTATATTTAAATGCGCAAAAAAATTACAACGACCAATGTGTAACCTACACAGTCCAGTAATATATTTATTATTGTCTTCTGAAATATTTTCGAACCAAGCCTTAGTTGATGGTGTCTCACCTCAGCATTTAGCATAACGTCGTTGCGCATGCAAAACCGCGGAAGAGCAGTTTGTGAATACCGCATAACAGCAAAAGGTACAAAATTTAAATATCGCGCCAACAGATGCTTAACGCTAATTCGCTTAAGCTAGATCTCACAGAATTTGAATTAGCCTCTAAGAAATCTCATTTTTGCCATCGAAACAATACCGCGAAACAGAAGCATTGCTCAAATTGGCCGCAAGTCCGCGTATTTACCAAATTAGTGAAGAAGTTATAACACGATCCCCGCACGAAACCTACGACTAGGAGAACTAAGAGATCAAATTCATCAAGACGAAGTAATGTTAAAATTTATTATTTGAAAGTTAATGATAAAAAGGAAAATAAAAGAAAAGTCGGAGTCACCTCAAAGGAACTTCGTTTTGTGGAGAATAGACACGCGTTTTGGTAGCGTTAAACTTGACAAGAATGGCATCGCCCCAAGCGGACACTGCCTGGAGTGTCAAATCCAAACGGCTAACCAAGGACTCTCGATAAGACTGGATTTCCTCGCACTGACCCTTGCATTGGTCAAGTACCTATCTATCTACAACTGTGTTGTCATCAAGATATTCAAAAGTACCTACCTGGAATTAATATATCATTATTAATACAAAGATCGAACACTCAGAAAAAACACTCAGAAAAAATTCCTTCGATCCGGTCGGAATTTGTATTAATACTCGTAATTATAACAAACTAGTGGAGTAATTTCACAAAAAATAATTGAATATCAATTCAATAAAAATTTAATTCATATATCATTGTTATGCAGCAGAAAGACAGTTGCAGACAGTACGGAACCCTGAGGAACTCTCTATCTATCGCCATATGTTCGAAAGAGTAATCTTCTAAGACCACTCGAATCGAACGTTCACTCAAGAAATCCGAGATCCAATTGCAAAGGTCAGTGGGAAGCCCATAATTGGGAAGCTTACTTAAAAGGTTTGAGTGCCAGACCCTGTCAAAGGCTTTAGAAAAGTCTACAGACATTGCAAGTGCTACGCTTTTCTTTTCTATAGCCTCGCTCCATATGTGACAGGCATACACAAGAAAATCCCCAGTAGATCGCCGTCGTCGCAATCTGTACTGGCGATCATTAAGGAGGTCGTTGTCTTCAAGGTACGACAGAAGACGGTTGTTGAGTACGCGTTCCATAGTCTTGCAGAGTATGGAAGTGACTGAGATATATCTATAGTGGACGCTCTGCTTCCCTTTTTCGGCACAGGTTGCACGTTTGCACCTTTCCGCGACCTGGGAACTACACCAGTCTCAAGCGAGAGGCGATACAGGCGTGTGAGAAAAGGAGACAACTCAAGCGCACAGTTACGCAGAACTATTGCTGGAATTCCATCTTGCCCGCCAGCTTTATCTAGATTTCGCGGAGTTCTAAGTACCTCTTTTTAGCGAATGCGAACTGGCGACATAGTGCACTCAGCCTGAGGTAAAGTAGGTGGTAGATTCCCAGCGGCATCCAAACGCTAACTCTCTGCAAAGAGTGAGGCAAAAAGATTCGCCGTCTCTTCCTCAGTATGAGCCAGCGAGCCATCCGGCCTCAGCAGAGGTGGCAAAGATGGGCAACAGAAGCTAGATTCGACCGCTTTGGCCAGGGACCAAAAGGATTTGCTGCCTGCTGGACAAGAGGCAAGCTTGGCCCCTATGTGGCGCACATGGTCGATAGATGATGATGGTCTTAGCCCTACGTAACACACTTCCGCACCTCTTGGTGGCCTCATTAAAAGGTTTCTTCAAATTCTGAGTCCTCGGAGCTTTGCGTAGACGAGCATCCTCTCAAACTTGGTACGCGAGCTGTTTACAATCAGCATTAAACCATGGACGAGATTGGGGTCCATTAGGTACATCAGAGTATGGTCTGTAACACTTCATACCCAAACGCAAAACCTCGACTACAGCATCAGCACAGCTCGACGAGTCTCCTGAAATAAAGCACGCCTGTCAGGGGTGTGACGCAAAGTCATGTATGTCAGCTGTGTATTATAGTCATAAAGGATATAAAAAAATAAAGTATAATAATAATAATAATAACGACAACAACGACAACGACGACAACGACGACAGAGACCACAACGACGACAACAACGACAACGACAACAACGACAACGTAAACAACGATAACAACGGTAACAACGATAACAATAATAAAAATACTGCATTTACTTGACTTCGGTCCGTAAATGCGTTTCAAACCAAGTAACAACCTGAGAAGAATAAAGCAAATAATAATAATAATTAATAGAAAATAATAATTAATCTTTTAGGCCATGGGAGAGGCGAGAGTCTAAAATATATATAATAGGAAATAATAATAATAATAGTCTATGATTATAGTGGGTAATATCATAATAAAAAAAGGGTGACGTGGCTACAGAGGAAGACACTACCTTTTAATTATATTTGTGCAAGACATTTAACAAGATTAAGCTGCTGTGATTTTCAGACGACTTATGAGATAGTTTTTTTGTTATTCTTAATTAATCACGAAAACTTACCTTCTTTTTGACTTACTTATAAAAAGATTTCTATATAATTTGACTACGAACAGTAATAATTTATTGTTTATCTGATATTTAAGAAGATGTTTGTTTTAGAACCTTTTTTGTTATATTTTTATTATTATTATGACCCTGTACTGTCCCAGAGAAGGGCAAAAGCCTCCTTACTCCTTATTCCTTTATTATTTTCCATCCTCTAAGCCTTACTCTCTGTCACTTTTGCTCTTTAGTCATAATAAAATCAAACCTTTAATAAAATGTTCATTTCAATCCCGCGCAACCCCGCGCAGATACTATCTACTACTTTTTCTGTAAGTTGTTACTACAAAATCGCGATAATGACTTCGACTGACGAATCTAAACAAGTTATGGCTAAACTTACGTTATTTTTCTACAGAGTGAATTGCAAAGAAATAGTTACAGAGTTCAGTCGGTGAAATATAGTTCAATGGCTAAGATATTCAGTTTTTTATTCTTCCTGTAAAATGGAGAAAACGCTGTTACGAGGTATTTACAAAGTGCTCTTCAGCGGTTTTGTACGCGCAACTATTTATTGAGCATCTACAGAGCTATCAGCTTAAAGGTAGTAAATAATTAAAAACTGTAATCGTTATTATATTGCGGATTTTATATGTAGTTAGCTAAATTACCGCGTGTTTTGTCTTTCTTTTTTTTTTCTTTTTGTGTTCTGTCTTTGTCCGTTGGATTGTGAGACCGATAATGGTCTTTGGATTCCGATCATCGACGTTTGAGTGCACAGACTACTTAGTGAATTACGTTTTGAGTGTGTTCCTGGTATGTACAATTTGTCACATAACGTGTATCTTTCAACCCGTTGTTCTTAATAGGCTAGAGGCCAAAACCTATAAAAAAAACCTTTGATTTGACATTACCGATACGTTCAAAACATAATGTTCAAACCTGGCTTTATTATTATGGCTTTATTGGCTTTATTTATTTATTAAAATAGGGGATTGTATTATTTCACATTATAATCACCAAACTTGTTTTTGTCGCTTTTTTTACAACAAGTACTTGTTCCGAATTTTATTAATTTAATGGAATAGGATTTTTCCTGTGAGATGAAAAAAAAATATTTAAGCCTTAAAATTGAAAAATCTGTAAATAGAATTGAACGCACACACTTTACCGCGGTTTTCGCATTTTGACAGTTGCAGCTGCATCTGTTTTGTTTACGTTTTGCGAAATTGAATATAAATGCTTCTATAATAAAAATTGTCGGTATTTGTGTGCTACATAGCATTGATATACTTCCTAATAAAATACTGCTTTGAAAAAATATTTAAATATTGCTTTTTAGCCGAGAAATTAGACGAACTAACAACATGGGTGACTATCCTGATCCTGACGAAGAATATGAGCTCATGTATGCAGACGAACTCGAAATTCTACAACAGGAAGATGACCACACTTGTAAGTAGTACATTTCATACATAATAACCCTATTTTCAAATAGAAAATTACATAAATTCGTAACATATCCTGTGTCCAGTTTCAGATGGTAATACTATAAAAAAGAAGTCGTTACCGGCTAAAAGGAGCCTTGATTTCTCCATTCCTATAAGTAAAAGCACGCGAGATGGGACCAAGAGCATGCCCCATGTTGTTTTAAATACGTCAGAGACCTATAACAAAGATCTTGAAGTTCAAAATAGCCAAATTTCGTTAACACCGGCATTGCCTTATATGGATGATCTTTTAACACCAGTGAATGGCTGTAACAAGCGGACTGCCGATGATTTATTCGGAGATATTGGTGATATAGACTTTGATGATCTGCAATTGCCAAGTAAAAAACAAAAGACTGAAGAAGAAAATGACTTGGAGTTGATAAATAGAATAATTGAAGGCAGAAGGCTGAAACAAATGCTTCTTGAACCAACAAAACGGTTACAAAGTCGGTCTGAACCTGTCTATGATGCTAAGGAGAATCTTTCACTGAATATTCCAAGGTAAAGCTTTTTAATTTTTTTTTAATATTAGCAATAGAGCTTCTTGTGAAAGAGATCATCCAGTAAAGTGCTACCATCTCACCTATTTCTGCTGCTAAGCAACAATTATTAAAACATTATTGCATTCTGGTTTTGATGATTAAGGGTGCTGGTGAAATTACAGGCACATGGGACTTGTCATCTTATATTTCAGGAATGCAGTGGCAGTGTTCTCAGATTTTTGCGATTTAAAGCTCTTGAGTCGGCACTGTAACTGCTATGGACAGGTTGTAGCTTACTACCAGATGCACATGTTTCCTGTCACGTGACATAAAATATATAATGTTATAAACATGTAACTTGAAAATCTGTTGTTGGGCATTATACTTGTAAATGGTAGCACAAACATCCCTCTGTTCAGAAAACGTATAGTAAAAGAGGAAATAGCTGCATATATAATTGACTTATTTGCCTGTTCTCTGTGTGAGTTCAATAGAAATGTTTTTATTGGTAATGTGTTACGGGATATAATTACAGTATATAATATAATAGGGTATAATATGATTTAGTAGATATGATATAATTTTGAATGTAATATTAATGTACTTAATAATGTTGAACAAGTGACAATTTTGGTTACATTGTTGCATTAGCTAGTCCTGATACTTGCTAGCTTGTGTATGTAAAATAAATAAATAAATAAATAAATGTCCTACTACAGTCTTCCAGTGCAGAGAACTGCTGATTTGATTACTGTGAGGCACTGTAATGAAATTCAGAAAGTTCCCGACGAGCCACTAGAGGTTCTGGAAAAACGCATAATGATGTTGAATTGCAAAAACTTGCACAAGTAACGCCTAATATCGAATACCGTCTGACAAGAAATAATAACTGTTTGTAATGAATAATTCTTTTTCTCTGTTTATTTAATTTCTCCTCTTAAACTGCTTGAACTTTTAATGTGATAGCAATTAATGAAAAATGAAAATGAAAAAGTTTATTTCTGTTTTTAAGTTGTTTTTACACAAGTTTGGAACTCCCTAGTAGGTGTCATCCACCTGTGACAGGAAGTCCCGCTCTTTCATTATCTTTTAGTTATATGAAACAAACTATTAATTTCTAAGTTACAAAATGAATAAAATAAGTTAACACAAATGATGCGATATGCTAAGCTTTACGAATCTACAAAAATGTTTTAAATGGTAAATATAAACTAAACTTAAATAAATTACAATAATTGTTGTAAATCATAAATGTATACAAATGTTTACTTACTAACATATTCAATTTATTGTACATTCCTCTCAGAAGAACCTGCCTTACAAATGAATAGTAGAGTTTAATGAATATTATTTCACCTTTGATATAAAGATTATTTATTTATTATTATTCTAGGCTACAATTTTTGTTGGTGTACAAAGAGCATAAGTAAAAAATAAGAAAGTTTAAGATTTTATTCCTGAAAGAGTATTATATTCTTCGTTTCTTCAAAATGAAGTGTCAACAGCCATGTGGCACTTGGTACTTGGTACTTAGTGCAACGGGACGGTGTCCGCAAATCGACGACAAAGCGCCTATTTTGCGTGTGCAGGGTCCTGCTCGTGCCAACCAAGCTCCTCCAGGAATCTCGGCAACCTCCTCGGTTTGCTGAAGATTTCGGGGAGCAATCTCGGCACTCCAAGGTACTTTGCCCTGTAGCTGGCCACGCCGGTGCACTGTAGTAGGATGTGTGCGGCCGTCCTCCCCCTCCATGCACGCTCTGCATAGAGGGCTGTCTGTCATACCTAAATTAAAAAGGTGTTTATTGTATGGACCATGACCCGTTAGGGCGGCAGTTAGAGTGCGAAGCTCTTGCCTTTTAAGTTTGATTAATTTTCGAGATAGACTAGCGTTGAGCGTCGAGAGTGCTTCCCTCGCCTGTCTACAAACCGTAAGGGTTGTCCATGTGTTATTATGAAAATATTTTGTGCCTTTATGTATAGTTGTTCTTGTCACTGGTACGGGAGGGACACTATGGGTTCTGGTCCTACAGCGTCCGTCTCCGATCCTTTTAGTTATCTGTTGCGTCATTGCCACGTGAGCCGCTGTATCCTTTAATCCACTGTAGAGTTACGTGGTTGTGTATACATACCTCCATGAGTGTTTGATGGCATTCGTAAATGAGCCCTGGGATTATTTCATAGCTGTTCAGTGCTTGAAGTACTAACAAGCTGTCGGAGAGTATTCGAATGGAGTGATTCTTTACTCTTCTCGCTATGATTGCCTCTGCTGCCTACTTGATACCCATGCATTCAACCTGGAATACTGTGTTGTGGTTACCAAGCGGTCTGATGTCCTGATATTGAGGTCTTCTGAGAATACCCCAGTACCTGTTTCTGAATTTGTTTTTAATCCATCAGTGAAGACGCGGACCTCTCTGAAACTCAGTCTTTCGTTGGGATCTTCAAACAATTGTATCTTGTATTTTTTGTCAAAAATATATTGTTTCGGGATCCTATCCACAGTAGACATAGGCGCGCCGACAAAAAACCCTAAAACGAATTTGTATATCGGTGTTTGTTATACAAATACTTTTTCAAAGGAAAAAAATAAAATAACGTATTGTCTATAGTAATAAAATTTTTATCAGTTCGATCAGGCGCTCCGATCGTACGCACGCGCACGCTTCCATATTGAGTATGCGTAGTGAAAATGGCGACGCTAGAAATTGACAAATTAATTTTTTAAACAAAACATTTTTAAATATAAACACACTAACTGACTTTTGTCGCCTATCTATGTCACCTCTGCTGAGGCCGGACGGCACGCTGGCCTACATTGCAGAAGACAAGGCAAAACTTTTTACCTCACTTTTCAAAGCAAAGAGTTCGCGTCTGGATCTAATCATACCTCAGGCTGGCTGCACTGTGGCGCCAATTCGTATACGCCAAAAAGAAGTACTTAAAACTCTGCGGAATCTAGATGTGATATAAAGCTAGCGGGCCAGATGGAATTCCAGCACTAGCCCTACTTAACTGTGCGCCTATGTTGTCTCCTGTTCTCACACGCGCCTTTACCGCCTCTCACTTGAGACTGGTGTAGTTCCCAGGTCGTGGAAGCTTGCGAACGTGCAACCTGTGCCGAAAAAGGGAAGCAGAGCTGACTCTGTCAACTATAGACCTATCTCAGTCACTTCCATACTCTGCAAGACTATGGAACGTGTACTCAACAACCGTCTCTTGTCGTACTTTGAAGACGACGACCTCCCCCGAGATCGCCAGTACGGATTCCGAAGAGGGCGATCAACTGGGGATCTTCTTGTGTATGCCTGTCATATATGGAGTGGCACGCAAACCTTTTAAGTAAGCTTCCTTTTTATGGGCTTCCCACTTTGCAATTGGATCTCGGATTTCTTGCTACTCTTCCGAACATATGGCGATAGATTCCTTAGGGTTCCGTACTGTCTGCAACTCTCTTTCTAACTATATATAATATAGTTGCTTACGAGACAGACGCCCCGGCCACATGCAACCGGGGCAGACAAACATATCCGTCTATGCAGCTAACCACAAATGCCAGCGAGTCCATACCCAAGACCGGGTCCGTCAGAGGGCGTCTCTGGCGGACCCGGTCTTGGGTATGGACGAAGGCACTGGCCTTGCCGTTGAGCCCGTAGTCTCTACGGAAAACGCTATCTCTCGGGTCAGTACACACACCGGGACAGTTGCTTCAGCTGTACCAAGCACAAATTCGGCCGTGCGTGGAGTACTGCTGCCACCTTTAGGATGGCTCTACTACATACATATATATACATATGATGTTAGTATTTTAAAAATAACCGTGTATAATAATGTCTATACTTAGAAACAACAATACCTCTTGTGGTGTACTAAACTAAGCTTATATATGTATATTACGTTACTAAAACCCAGCAAACTACAATGGGTAAAGGGCTAAACACCTAATGGACATTGGAATCCAAGCAAGTATGCCTTCAGTTTTGTGTGATAATAGAATATATAGTGCTAAATTTTAATGCAATATTTTCATTATAGTGTACATTGAGCGTTTATGTGATCATGGGAATAATATTGTCTGGGTCTAAATCACTTCACATCATATGTACTACATTTTGATGTACACGGGGCCTTAGGAGTTTATTAACACTGTCCTATAATTGTTATTACAGATGGCCTTTTATGCCTCTTACAAATTCAGACGGTGACCGTTTCTATGTGAGACTGCAATCTGAAGACGCATGGGAGCAGTCTCTTGACACTGATCTCAACCAATCTTCATTACATTCTTCCTTTGCTAAAACTTGGGAGGAGGCTCGGAAAATTGTAAGTAAATTTTATGACAGTTGGTAATATTTCTGCTACTGGTTGTAGCACTACAACATTACATAGTATATGTAGTATTATTAATATTTAATAGTAGCAGAAGAGCTCTTTCTAAAAGACTTTGTCCAGTGAAGTCACTGCCACCTCACCTATTTATGCCACCAAGCAGTAATGTCAGCATTACCGTGTTCCGGTTTTGTAGGGTAAGGGTGCTGGTGAAATTACAGGCACAAGTAACAGGCGCAGTGGCAGTGCCCCTCAGATCTTTGCGAATTAAAGCTCTGAGTGGCACTGCAACTGTTATGGACATTCGTGTAGCTTTAGTCAGGCGCACGATTTGTTCGTCCCGTCACTTGATATTACAAAAAAATTAAATAAAATCTAATGAAAATAATGTAGATTTGTTACTGCAACACAACACACTTCTTGCCACTCGGCTTGGATCGATAATGCCACCTTTAACTAATAAAACTTTATTTATATCACAGGTCTTGACAATGATGTTTTCGAACAGGTTTGATTCTTATTAAAAATACAAGCATGACAAAAATAAGAGGAAAAAGGCTTATACATAAATTTTTACATTATTTAATAATTGGCAAACAATCAAACACTGTCTAATGTAAAGGGGCTACCAATGGACATTTTCGATACCAATGAAGTAATCTTAACAATTCAAATACATTAACGTCCAAGTCATTGATAATGTTGGACATTCAACCATTAATATGATTTTTTTTATAGTAAATCATTTGCAATCAGTGCCACTATTAACAAATGTGCTTATACTCGGTTATGTCAAAGCAGGCAAACTCTCCTCTGTGAGCTTCTCCCCTTTATGTGTACTCAACATTACTTCAACGGGAGTATGTCTATTTGTTTGAGCCTTTTATTGTAACTGCAGATTGTCAACTGTTTGCCAATACATTACGATAGTTCTCAAAGCTATTACGGTATCTTAAGGTTGTACTTTTGATTTCCTCCTTTACCGTGTTCATTTCCAGGTGTTTGTGACATACCAGGGTACAGTAGCCATACTACGCAAGATAATGTTTTGCATTCTTTGTAACATGGATATATTGGAGTCACAAGCGCCCCCCCCATAGTTGGATTCCATACATCCATACTGGCTTCAATGTTGTTTTGTAGTTTGATGTCTATTGACAGCTTGCTGTTTCGTCCGACCAGCCAGTATAGATTAATATAATTGATAATTTTGTAGCTGCGGTAACAGCGTTCGAAATTATTTATGATTTCCGAGATTTCCCGATGTTTATATATTCTTTATTGCACCAAATAAATACGACAGAAATATTAGATTAACAGAAAGTGAGCAATGGTGGTCTTATCTGAAAGAGTTCTCTTCCAGCCAACCCAGGGTAGTGAGAGCTAAGGTTATAAGCGGGCAATAGCGTGCAAGAGAGAGTGCGGAAGAAATATAATAAAATACATAAATAAAACATAAAACAATACCATTACTTACATAAGTATTAATTTTCATGTAATTAATTAATTTTTAATGTTTAATGTAACTTTGAACATTGAATCAATGTTTATTTCAATAAAGTAGACACTTTATTTACTTTCAGCTCGAGGCAAAACAATCGCAACAAATAGAAAAGTCTCAAGAAGCTCTCCCGAACATGGACAGCGACATTGGCACCAGCCTTTGGGTCGATAAGTACCGCCCAGAATCATACGTGGACTTGTTATCTGAAGAACCTGTGAACAGGACTTTACTGCATTGGTTGCATCTTTGGGATAAGGTATTTATAGTGACATAGTGTGCAATTCCTTTCCATACTCCAAGCATATTTCAACCCTGGAGGGATTAGCAACAAATACATGAAGAAAACTCATAGTCCCCTGTATTCCATAAATATTAACAATATACATGGTTGCTTGTAAAATACTAACAACCTAGCAGATCTGTATCGTTCCTGGAAAGGCGAAATTACTAATCTCCAAAAGGCCAGAATGGCGCTTCAGTACTTTCGCCTTTCCGTTGACGATATTGCTTACATCATAAACAACAACTTTCGTTCCCATCGAATATCTGACCTGTGTGTACGTCTCCGTATATTCCAAAAATATTCTGTATTTATTGTAATAAAGATAATATCTCTAGCAATTTACAATCTGGGCCCCAGAGTATCTTTGAGAGATAAGATTAAGAAAATTAATATTCTTACACTAGCGTCACAGTACGAGTACATCTATGAAAATGTAATTTACGTTAAGAGGAATAATAATTTATTTATGAAACATAGTGACAGACAACATTAATACGAGGAATAAAAATAAATTAGCTGTTTTTGATAGTGGTCTTCACAAAGTGACAAATTCATTTAAGGGGCAATGTACACACTTCTATAACAAGATTCCGGTTGATATACAAAATTTGCCATTCACGAAGCTTAAAACTATAGTGAAACAAAAACTTTATACTTCTGCGTACTTGGATGACAAAAATCCGTGGTAGTAACCCGTTTAGCTCATGGAGGTATTCTCGATCTCTGATGTTTGAAAGCAAAACAAAAAATATATTGTAAATGTTGAATGCGTACAAATGTTATTTACAAAGAGCAATCCCTAGAGTTTCTTGCTCAATCTTCTCGGGGGAATCTGCCTTACGAGTGAGCGGTAGAGTTTAACCAATGTGACGATTTCAAGTGTAATAATGCTTACCTATGAAATAAAGATTATTTTGATTTTCAAAAATATTAAATATGTAATTTTCCATTTTACGTCCATTATAGCAAAGCTCAAGTTAAACTGGTATAAAACTGGTGATAAGTTTGCTCGGCAACAAAAGAAAGAGCTAGAGTAAATTCCAGTCCGATGCAAAACGCAGGAACGGAGTGCAGGTCGTCGAGTAAGACATTTACACATTTGACCTTACTACTGAATACAGGTCTAAAAAGAGTTAGTACAATGAAAACTTTAAAGTTTATTTTTGGTTAATTTATTATGATTAGTAAAAAGTCATACAACTAAAGCTGTTGTTTATGATTTTAATAATAAGGTCCTGTGAGGTTCTTAGTTTTTTACAAATAACGTTGTAAATATCGAGTCCTTAGGTTTTCGCGATTGTTACACATAGGAAATGAATCTGTTTTTCCGGATTTAAATCGCGTATATTTGTTTTTTCAAACAAACCGACGTTTCGGGCCGTTGTCATGGTTGACTTGAAACTTTGTAAATATATCATACAGTCTCGTAAAGTTCACCTAAGTTGACATTCAAATGTAATATTCCAGATAGTGTTTAAAAAGGATGTGAAGACCAAAGAGCCACAGCAGCGTAACAGCTTCAGCAAGCGAACTGGCCAGTTCCAACTGACCAACAAGTGGCGGGGCAAGAAAGAAAACGAGCCAGAGATTGACCCGGATGGACGGCCACATCACAAGGTAACCACATCATCGTCCTGATTTTGATTCAAACCGGAATCGATCCGATCGGGTAGTCTCGATTTCAGATGAGTTTCTGAGCGAGAAGATGAACCTGATTCTTACTGTAACTTCCTAATTTGTGAGTTAAATCAAGTATTCTTCGGATTACAAATGTCAAAAGTTCCCGATCGGCCAGTTGTGAATCGCAATTATGGCCTCGACTTGGAAAAGACGCAGTTTCCGATCGGGAATCAAATTCAAGCTGCAAAACTATTTTAAAGTTAACATTCGGCTTGAAGTACCATAGTAGCACAATGCCTTCAGCAGGCATGCTGATAAGTTCCAACTGATCAACAAGTGAAAGAGCAAGGAGGCAGAACCTGAAATGAATCCAAATGGCTTATCTATTCAGTTCAGTGAATAGCCCTGTCTGTACACGCGCGATAAAGTATTTGTGTAAAGCCTGCTATTGGGTTAGCCACAAGTGATGCGGTAATAAGGACACAGATAGATATCTACTTCAGAGGGTATTAATGTTCTGTTATAACATGTGCCAGTGCATTTTGTTAGACTGATAACGTCATCAGAGAAGAAATCGTACCCTTGTTATAAAGCCACATGTTATCATACTTCAAAAATGCTTTCATCACATGAAAGTTATAAAAATAACTACTTATACATGAAAGAAATTAAGTATATGTGAAATTTTATAATACTCCTATTTAAGAGTAAAAAAAATGTGTAAACATTAATTGCCTGATCTCAAACTAGGGAATTACCTGTACTATGAGTATCAGAGCAACGGAATTCACTCCGGGGCACTATCTGGAACACCCATACCAGAACCAATTTAGAAAAGTTCATTTCCCAAATTGGTCATTCCACGAATCGAACCCGGGAAGTCGTGCACCTGATGGTAGGCGACACGCCTATCTATAACTGTTGGAGAGCCACCTAGAACTTTTAAGAGTAGACATTACATAGGAAATGAAACTATTTTTCCGGATTTACCATATAGTAGACATTACCTTAGCTCGAATTGAAATTTTTCCCGTATTAATACTATATAATTTTGCTTGGGTCGAGCGGCTGGGACACTGGATTTATTTCAGAATTTATTTTTGTTACAAACGAAGTAAAAGCCATTTGTAACATGTATATCATATACTATACGTGGTCTATTTAGTTTTGTGACCGTGTGACCTCCTTACACCGTCATCTCACCTCTTTGTATCGCCTCTCTCCTCTTGCATCTTATAATTTTTTTTATTTTACTTGTATTTAAATTTTAAATTTGAATTGTTCCATCTTCCTTCACTTTCTCATTTTGTTTTTGTACCACGGTCACTACCAGCTCGACCGCCACAACAGTCAGAGCTGTTAATAAGCTAATCATGTGTAATAATTTATAAGTCTACAGCTTTTATGTATCTATTTCTGCAATTCAGTTTCTCGGCCCATTTAGGGCCTTTCTTAAAACTTTACTTCTTTAATAAATTTTGTGGACCGAAAGTTTCCCATTTCATTGCCGTGAACCTGTTCACGGCTAGTTAGGGTTACAACCCTTTCAGTTTAGTGACAATAAAAGTCATTGGTATGTATAAAGTACCTGTTGAATACAACAGATTTCTAGTAAAATTTCGATGTAGTTTGTGTTTTTTTCTATGGTAAAATTTTTAAGAATCGTGTTTTCAGTAGTGATCAGTGTATATTCTCAATTTTCCTATATATTTTTTCCAAAGTGGTGATTCAACACTTCACTGTTATCTGGAATCAACCAAAGCCACTTGAGGTTGTATAGACTCTTACTCGCAAAGATTTCCGAATTCGCAATTTCGCAAAGATCGCCGAATATTATCCGACCTCCTATTTTTACATGGTATACTAATAATACAATAAAATGTTGCAATATTCTGTACCAAATAAATATTAATAATAAATATCCCCGTCATAAAATAACCAAAATATTTAACGTAACACAATGCTGGACTAACCTAGTTCTGCACAGTTCACTACCTAGATTATCCTCTACTTACAACCAAATTAACGTCCGAATAGATATAGACATTTTTAATTCTACCCGTAATGTTTTAAAAAATGACATTTTCGAATCGTTTCCCCAGCAATTTCATAAGTTTGTTGTTTTTATTGCTTATTAATATTTTATTACATTAAATGCTGTGTAGGTCTGTAATAGGTAGACATATAAGTTCAGTCCATGTACAATACTAATGTAAAGTTACACTGTTATCTAAGCGTATTATGTACTACTGTTGATGTACACACGTCAGCACATCAAGCTACACATCGACGTATCTTGTTCCGTTGCAATGGAGGCGATTTTCGAACAAAAATGTGTAGTCTGATGTGCCGTTCTCCGTACCTTATATATATATATATATATATATATAAAGATTTTAGAAGCACTGACATTGTGCTCGACAGTCTGAGACATAAGTTGACATGCCTCATGTGACATAAGCAACATACTGAACTAACTTCGGTAACGCAGACTTTGGCACGCCCCCCGGTTCTGAGCCTGATCCAGTTAGCAGTGCCGAGATCCCAAGTGATCTTAAAATTGTAAACGCGTTACTGGCAAGACATATCTGAAGCCACAGTGGCTGTAACAGTTTCTGAAGTAAGATTTGAATTTACAGGTAGCGCTGCTGTGTGGCCCACCAGGTGTGGGAAAAACTACACTCGCTCATCTCTTGGCTAGATTAGCCGGTAAGCAAAAATTGACGCACATGACATCTGACATAGTATTATCTCAAATTTGCTTTAAGTTACATTAATATGACCTATTTAATTTCAAAGCGACATTGTTGTCCTGTCACTTTAAAATTAAATCGTATGCAAATGACATAAAATATAGCGAAATTTTGGAGATAAATTATTAATATAACGCAACTTGGAGATAAAATATAAAATAACGGAATTTTTGAGATAATACTATGTTATATGTCAAGCGCGATAGTGTTGTTATTTGTTTCTATACATACATATTCTCGAGATGGCGAGTTATACATTGTTTGAGGTCCGAATCATTAAATAGTTAAATATAATAATGAAATTGCTTTACTTTATAGGAAAATTTAAGCAAAAAAAAAATATTTTGAGAACTTTACAGAACCGATTTTTTGTTGCGTCGGTAATGTTTTTACTACTATGATTTTTTTTAATACTCCATTAGTTTGTTATTATTGTTGATATAAAGATCGAACACAAAGAAAAAATAAAATAATTCGATCTGACTGGCCGCGTTCTAGCGTCTCATGCTAAACCGGGGCAACCGCTCTCACTAACACTCTTAAAAACGGTCTCCTGCTCAGTTGGTCAGTCGATCTTTGTATCAATAATAATAACAAGATACCAGTAGGAGAATGCCTATTTCAGAGTTCGACGATTTTTTGTGACGGGACGAACAAGGCGCACGCAAATATCTGAGGGGCACTCCCACTACGCCCGTCACCCTGAGACATAAGTTGACAAGTCCCATGTGGCTGTAATTTCACCAGCACCCTTACCCTTCAAAACCAGCACTCAGTAATGCTCACATTACTGCTTGGCGGCAGAAATAGGTAAGGTGGCAGTACCTCTCTGGACGAACTCTTTCACAAGGAGCTCTACTGCTACTAAACTACTGCAGTTGGTAACCCAGTAGAACAATCCTTATTTTATTGAATAATCATGATGTTGGTACTTCATTCCTATATTTTTTGTGAAATACTGCACTAGATTTTTATCATTATTGCTATAAAGATCGAATAACGTACATAATGGTCTGGTCTAGCTCAGTTGGCCAGTCGATCTTTGCATCCATAATCATAAGAAACCAGTTGGAGAATGTTGATTTCTTAATTGTGATGTCGATCGGTCTGATTCGAATGCATGTGGCATACTTTGAATGTTAAATAGCCATCGAGTATATAACCAGAAATAGAGACGAAATAAGGGCCATTCATTCCTGGTAACTCATCAGTGATACATCACTAATAAACATCAACTCTCGTTTGCACTGAAATATAGAAGCACCAACAATTGACCTGTGTGTACGTCTCCGTATATTGCACAAATATTCGGTATTTATTGTAATAAGGATAATATCTCTAACAATGGCGTCCTGTTTCATTTGGTGGTGTGGGAACAAATAGCAAAACATCTAATTACTGAACAAACGTGATCAAATTTCATCGGTAATGTAATATGTAATTTTGCAATATTCGTCCATTATAGCAAGGCTCAAGTTAACTGGTCGATTTGAAGTGAAACAGTTGATGACACCCGTCAATTGTTTCGAACTCGGGCTAGCCAATCGGAGCGCAGTTGTCACAGCAATTATATGGCAGAATAGTTTTCAAACAAATTAAATGACATTTCGTCTCTATTTCTGGTTATATACTAGATGTAAATAGCAATATCTCGCACTAACGGCGAAGGGAATCATGTGATGAAACCTGCTTGTAAAAGACGGTTCACATGCCTAGGAAAACATATGAAGTCCTTCTCCTTATAGGTGTGACGATGCGACCTCTTTCATCGTCATCCCACCCTTTTATCACTCCTTGGTTCCTGGCCACCTGCTTTGAAATTTTGAATCGTTCTTTAATTCCTTTTCTTCGTCATTCTTTCTTTTCTTCCTTCGTCACGCTCTACTGAATTTCCGAAGCGAGCGGATGTGCTCGACTTCATATCAAATTCTGACCAGTTATACCATTGACGATCTTGTACCCTAACTGCTTGTAAAGTATAATATTTGTACAAATGCAGGCCCGTTTGGGGTAAGTTCCTTGTTTACCATGTCTAACCTGTAATTTGAGTAGATAGTATTTTTAAATGATTGTACCTGTGTTTATACCGTGATTTTGTTTTGTTACAGCCTTTACCTTACCTTTCTTCTTTTTCCTTCTCATTGCCTATTGATATTTTGCAATAAATTTTTGAGCCCTTTCGTCACTGGTATTTTTGAATCAAGCTGCAACTTACTTTTTAGGTTACAGACCTGTAGAGTTGAACGCTTCGGATGAACGGAGCACTGAAGCTTTTCAAACGGCTTTACAAAGCGCTACGCTCATGAGGTCTGTCCTGGACGCTGAAAAGAGGCCAAATTGTTTGATACTAGGTACGATGTCATTATCTATATAACATAATGCCTGATAGCCAGACCATTGTGTCTACCCCAGACCAGACCAGATAATTGTATCTGGTCGCAAAGTAGAGAACTTCCTGTATTGTAAGTCCCAGATTAACGCTCCGAGGCACTATCCTGAACACTCAGACTTTAATTTAGAGAGTTTAATTGCCTAAATTGATGCTTTTTAATTGTACGTACATAAAAAAGTGCACATTTGAGCTCAATCTAACCTGATGGATAGTGACGATGAGGTTAAAGATGGAGCATGCACATCTAAATCGATATCTCCAATGAATATTACGCCAACTTTATTTTTTCAGTTCATTTTCTGTTATTTTTGCAAACAGCCATATTTATTTAATAATATTATGCTCCCCGAAGTTTCTGGAACAAAATAAAGTAACAAAAAAGAAAATTAAAAAAAACGATTTTTGTGAAAAAAAGTAAGGAAACAAAACACATAATAAAAACAGTACAAGTAAAAAAATTTGGTTGTCGTAGTGTTCGTTGGAGGTATAATGTCTAATGCTTAAACCTGTGCCTCGCAGTGGATTGATACTATATTGTTGAATTTCAGATGAAATTGATGGAGCGCCTCTCCCCACAGTGGAGCTCCTTGTGAAGTGGTGCACAGCCAGTGCGCAAGAGGGCGGCGTGAAGAAAAAAGCTAAAACCCAGCCTTTGAAGAGACCTGTCATCGCAATTTGTAATGATCTGTATGCGACTTCGCTACGACCTTTGAGGTACGATATAAGATAATGTAAGCTTATCTATGAACGACTAAAAGCTGGTTTCAGAGCAGTGCGGATTTATATGCCTACCGTCTACGCGGAGCACACGTGTGGCGTTAGAATATCGTTTTGTAGTGACGCGGATTGCTTTGTACATAACACGCTCCGCGTGAACTCCGCCCCATATTATTATTATTATATATTATTTTATTATTATTATCATATCTATTTTAGACTTTCGCCTCTCCCAAGGCCTAAAAGATTAAGTTTGATTTTTTAAATGGTATAGGCGGTATTCCCCGGCAATTATTACAAGCCTTTGTTATTATTACAAGCCACCCGTGCTTTCATTGTTAAGATAACATGACATTCTCTAACATAACAACTACTAAGATAACATTCTCAAAAATGAAATAAAGCGGTAAGTGAGTGCAGGCGAATAAGAATAATACATTATTGCAGAGGCTGGGAACTGGGAGCATTTTAGTTTAAGTGTTACCGCCATTTTCTTTTTTTTTAAGTACCGCTTTCTTATATAGGTAGGTATTTTTCATTCTCGTTGTTATTAATACTGGGCAGTTGGCTATGTGAGATTTTCTTTTGCCTGTTTACAAAGTTCATTATTAGTAGGTAGATTAAAAGTTTAGAGAAGTGGACAGTAATGCATTTTCATACTTACTTTGCAGGCCTTGGCTGGGAAGAAGTCGCACGGTCCATAAATGACAAACTTTTCGTGTTCGTTTTTGAAAGTAATGCAAACATTTCCGAGCATGTTTGAGAATATGACATACCGTCGCCTTACTTTCTCTAACTCGTATCTTAAAGCGCAAAGTTACGGAAATGCTAAAAATGGATTGTATATACAAACGTTGCAGGCTGATTTCACATCACATTTCCTTCATATTCACACACTGGCTTTTACCATGGACCAATAACTCAAGAGGACTGCTAATCGTCATACAAGATAGCGTAGCCGGGTATTTAGTACCTATTGGTACACTAGATGTCGCGACGATTACCAAATAGCTATTTTGTAACGTTATTTTACATTGACACATTGATTCTATCAAATCTGCTTCTAGTGATAACAAACACGTCAACTAGATGGCGCTATATTTTACCTCAAAATGGATATGCACCTGGAGTCGTATATAAATACATTGTAAAAAAAAACAATCGCAACTCACAACGTTTCCATCCTCTAAATAATAACTAGAACACTACTTTGTCTATTCTAATGCCATTTAGACATATTGATAGTTTAGCTTAAAATTATTCATATTTCAATGTTACTGGGTGTAAGAAGCGAGAAAAAACAATGGCTACGGTGATTTTAGGCTGAGAACACCGAACGTGCGAAATAATATTTTTTAATTTTATTTGTAATTCCAAGAAGTATGATATCGCAGATATTGCATTGGTCCCAAAGGGTCATATCGGAACGCCACACAGTGGGCCCAAATTGATAATTCTTGGACATAGGAATAACTTGTAGAGTATCGAGCAAATTTTTTTTATGTGATATATAATAACATTCCTAACAACTTTTATTCTTGTATGATTTCTTGAAAAGTTGATAGATTCAGAGAAAAAAAAAATTTTGTATGGACAAATATACATTTTATTTTTTATCTCAAAATATACGAAAATCTAATGTGCGTGGGT